CCCCCCACACCCTCCACACCCCCCACCCCCCCTACACCCCCCACACCCAAAACAAAAACAAATGACCCCCCCCCCTCCTCCTGTACCTCCCCCGGCCTCTAAGGTCAGCAGTATACAGTTATGTATAAGGCTTGGTGCTGAGGTATACAGTCATGTATAAGGCTTGGTGCTGAGGTATACAGTCATGTATAAGGCTTGGTGCTGAGGTATACAGTTATGTATAAGGCTTGGTGCTGAGGTATACAGTCATGTATAAGGCTTGGTGCTGAGGTATACAGTTATGTATAAGGCTTGGTGCTGAGGTATAAAGTCATGTATAAGGCTTGGTGCTGAGGTATACAGTCATGTATAAGGCTTGGTGCTGAGGTATACAGTTATGTATAAGGCTTGGTGCTGAGGTATACAGTCATGTATAAGGATTGGTGCTGAGGTATACAGTTATGTATAAGGATTGGTGCTGAGGTATACAGTCATGTATAAGGCTTGGTGCTGAGGTATACAGTTATGTATAAGGATTGGTGCTGAGGTATACAGTCATGTATAAGGCTTGGTGCTGAGGTATACAGTCATGTATAAGGATTGGTGCTGAGGTATACAGTTATGTATAAGGATTGGTGCTGAGGTATACAGTCATGTATAAGGCTTGGTGCTGAGGTATACAGTTATGTATAAGGCTTGGTGCTGAGGTATACAGCCATGTATAAGGCTTGGTGCTGAGGTATACAGTCATGTATAAGGCTTGGTGCTGAGGTATACAGTCATGTATAAGGCTTGGTGCTGAGGTATACAGTTATGTATAAGGCTTGGTGCTGAGGTATTCAGTCATGTATAAGGCTTAGTGCTGAGGTATACAGTCATGTATAAGGCTTGGTGCTGAGGTATACAGTTATGTATAAGGCTTGGTGCTGAGGTATTCAGTCATGTATAAGGCTTAGTGCTGAGGTATACAGTCATGTATAAGGCTTAGTGCTGAGGTATACAGTCATGTATAAGGCTTGGTGCTCATATGAAGCCATTTATTTAACATAAAACTGAGAGAGGTCATGTATAACTGAGAGTGGAGGTCATGTATAACTGAGAGTGGAGGTCATGTATAACTGAGAGTGGAGGACATGTATAACTGAGAGTGGAGGTCATGTATAACTGAGAGTGAAGGTCATGTATAACTGAGAGTGGAGGTCATGTATAACTGAGAGTGAAGGTCATGTATAGCTGAGAGTGGAGGTCATGTATAACTGAGAGTGAAGGTCATGTATAACTGAGAGTGGAGGTCATGTATAACTGAGAGTGGAGGTCATGTATAACTGAGAGTGGAGGTCATGTATAACTGAGAGTGAAGGTCATGTATAACTGAGAGTGGAGGTCATGTATAACTGAGAGTGAAGGTCATGTATAACTGAGAGTGGAGGTCATGTATAACTGAGAGTGGAGGTCATGTATAACTGAGAGTGGAGGTCATGTATAACTGAGAGTGGAGGTCATGTATAACTGAGAGTGGAGGTCATGTATAACTGAGAGTGGAGGTCATGTATAACTGAGAGTGGAGGTCATGTATAACTGAGAGTGGAGGTCATGTATAACTGAGAGTGGAGGTCATGTATAACCAAATGCTGACTGGAGAAATTGCCACGTGTGAACTCTGTGTAGAAAGCCATGTTTCTCTCCCCCCCCCCTCCCACCTCTCTCCCACACACCCCTCCCACCCCTCTCCCACACACCTCTCCCACCTCTCTCCCACACACCCCTCCCACTGCATGCAGCTGGGGGGTGCGTACAAATCTCGCAGTTTGTTTACAAAAAGTGTCGGGTCGGCCACCTCGACGCCTCACACTTTACCTACAACCTGCTGTATGGTTGTGTATGTGGTGTATTGTTGTTTATGTGCATTGGTTACTGTCTCTTCTGTACACTAACAGTTTTCTCCCCCACCCCCACACACACTTAACACCGTGGAGTGAACGCACTCAAGGGCACCAGAGTGACGGAGCAAGCTAGGCTTCAGTATTGTATTCATTCATTATGGCGCTGTTGATAACTTGAACTGTAGCGAGTTTCCACCTTGTGGACACTCAGAGCTCACCACAACATACAGTTCATACAGTACACGCAGCATACAGTTCATACAGTACACGCAGCATACAGTAAACGCAGCATACAGTACACACAGCATACAGTTCATACAGTACACGCAGCATACAGTTCATACAGTACACACAGCATACAGTTCATACAGTACACGCAGCATACAGTACACACAGCATACAGTTCATACAGTACACGCAGCATACAGTACGCACAGCATACAGTTCATACAGTACACACAGCATACAACAGTTCATACAGTACACACAGCATACAGTTCATACAGTACACACAACATACAGTTCATACAGTACACGCAACATACAGTTCATACAGTACACACAGCATACAGTTCATACAGCATACAGTTCATACAGTACACACAACATACAGTTCATACAGTACACATAACATACAACAGTTCATACAGTTGAGGACGCTAGCAACTGGCTGTCAGGCCTGTATACGTTAATATTGAAGTCTGCAGTTAAGTTGACGTATGCTAAGCTTGTTACTTAATATTAAGTTTTTATGATTAGAGTTGAATCCAAATGCACCAGTGTTTTGAAACATGTTGACTGCTCCCAAAGTTAAGATGATCTACAACCCATTTTGAACTGAGAAAACATATATTCTCCGCAATTGTCTCTAATTTTGATAATTTTTAGCACAATAGCTCTTTGTGGTAATAAATTGCTGTACCGCCACCTCTCTGGTTAGGTCCATAGTTTGTGGATAGCTCTATAATTGGGAATGTTATACACATAGTTTGATAAGGTATCACGTCAAAGGTTTTAGGTACATACAATAAACGGTAGAATACTAGAATGAATAAAACAACAGTTCAAAGAAAGCAAAGGAGCAAAGGAGCAAAGTCTTTTAAACCTGAAAGAAAAGAAAGCAAAGTCTTTGAATCTGAATGTCAGAAATGTGGTGAATTAGGTACTGTAGGGATCCATTTTGGGGGCCAACCCTTGTTGTCATATACAGCAATGATGACCAGACCACACACTAGAAAGTGAAGGGACGACGACGTCTCGGTCCGTCCTGGACCATACTCACAATCGACTTGAGAATGGTCCAGGACGGACAGAAACGTCGTCGTCCCTTCACGTTCTAGTGTGTGGTCTGGTCAACATATTTCAGCCACGTTCTTGTGACTCCTCGTCTGCATATAGCAATGACATATTACAAACCACATCATCAAATTTGCAGATGCCATTAAAGAGATTTGTGGTAAAGTGGGGAGTGAAAATGATGTCGAGACCTTACACAGAGATCAACATGAACTCCACAAATGGTCAGATGACTGGCAAATGCTTTTTAATATCGAAAAATGCATGACTATGCATGTGGGGCATAACAACCCACTTCACAACTACCAAATTAATAACATTACATTGCAACAGACTGACGAAGGACCTTGGAGTCAAAATCCACTATTCACTGAAAGTTGCACAAGTGGGAGTCGCAGTAAAAAAAAAAAAGTCAACCAAACTTTTGGAATATTCATAATAATTCAAACTTTGGAATATATATAACGTTTGTAATATTCCAAACTTTTGGAGTAATAACAGTAATGACTTCATGAAAAGAAGGTATAAATCTCCTTCTATACTTCATTCAACTGCATGTATAAATCTCTGCCCCCACTTGGATTACTGTATCCAAGCAAGAAGACCATCTTCGGAAAGACATAGCTGCTCCGGAGAACGTGCAACACCGAGCAACAGAAATAGTTCCAGAGCTAAGTCAACTCTCATACCAGGAACGGTTGAGGGTCACAGGGCTAACAACATAAGCCAGGCATGACAGGGCGGATCTCAGTGAAACGTTCAAAATATTGAGCAATTTGGAGGATGTTGATCCTGACAATGTCTTCAAAAGGTCACAAACACAAACAAGGAGCAACTGGTTTAAGCTCAACAAGCCTACCAATCTAGGACCGAGAACAGCTAGATGCTTCTTCACCCACAAGGTCATAATCTCATGGAACCGCCTACACGCCAAAACAACGCGGAATTTCAAAATCCAGATCGATAAAGTCATGAGGACGAATGGGGGGGTAACTTTGACAAGCCGCTGGCTTATCCTCAGGTAAATTTAGGTAAATATGAAGATAACTGAAGGCATCTTGTAGGTGCTTGAGTAAAGGCAAGAGAGAAGTTAAGACCGGGATGAAAGCGTGACTTTCCCCCAGAGGAGGCGGAGTCAGGCCGGGCTGGAAGGTGGCCCCAGCCGGCCTGGAGGCACTCAGTTGCTCCTGGTGAGTGTCTCGGGCTGGCACTCTCCCCACGCTCCTCTGCCACTCTGCAGGCACTCACGCAGCCACCTGCCACACCACACCACCACCATGGCCGACTTCCAGGGTGTGGAGAAGCAACTCAACCAACTGAGACTCAACATAGACGTGATCAGGAAGTGTGTCATGTGAGTACACTTGAGTGTGACCAACATGGGGGGGGGGGCTAAACACATATATATATATCTCCTGGTATTCAAAACATACACATATAACATTAATATCAAAGCATATTTACTACCAATATATTCTTTCTTTAACTGTTGATGTTTAAGTAATTATTTAATTAATAAATCCTGGCCGCACGTTTCCATTCTCTTCTCAGCGTACCTAAATTAGCGTTTAGGAATAATACTAGGAAGAGTTAACATGCCAACTGCTACCATCAACAACTTAGCTGGACAAGAAAGGCAATAATTGCAACATAAGATAAAATAATGTTTATTCAGGTAAAAGTTCACACACATTCAAAAATGAGTTACAAACATAATGTTGTATTCCTAGAGAGTTAGTGCATACTAAGGCTCAAGCCACCAACACACACACAGCTTCAGGTGTAGGGGAAAAAACACTTAGACTAAAACTTAAAACTAATTGAGATGTAAAAACATTGAACAATAGAGACGCTTGACGGCCGTCATGACCAGTGAGAGCCGCTCTTAAGCGCCCCTCTCCCACCTGCCCCCATACATCACCTGGCAGATACAGAGAGAAGAGAGCCAGAGAGCGTGCTAGAGTAGTGAGAGTGGTGTAATGAGTGGTGGGAGGCGGCCATGAGAGGAGTGTGAGGAGTGTGGTAGTGGCGGCGTCCCAGCAGACGACACTACACCAGGGAGGAGGACATGGGCCTGGTGGGCCGCGTCAGGTAATGCTGCTGCCCACCCTCACCTACACCTTCCTCTCCACCTCTACCTCCTCCTGGGGGCGCTGGCCTTGCTCCTCCACCTGCAGGGGTCAGGGCTCAGCTGTGGGTACAGCGAGGGCCCAGGGTACTGTGGGTACCGTGGCTCTGCTGTGGGTACAGCGAGGGCCCAGGGTACTGTGGGTACCGTGGCTCAGCTGTGGGTACCGTGGCTCAGCTGTGGGTACAGTGAGGGCCCAGGGTACCGTGGCTCAGCTGTGGGTACAGTGAGGGCCCAGGGTACCGTGGCTCAGCTGTGGGTACAGTGAGGGCCCAGGGTACCGTGGCTCAGCTGTGGGTACAGTGAGGGCCCAGGGTACCGTGGCTCAGCTGTGGGTACAGTGAGGGCCCAGGGTACCGTGGCTCAGCTGTGGGTACCGTGGCTCAGCTGTGGGTACCGTGGCTCAGCTGTGGGTACCGTGGCTCAGCTGTGGGTACTGTGGGTCAGCTGTGGGTACAGTGAGGGCCCAGGGTACCATGGGTCAGCTGTGGGTACCGTGGCTCAGCTGTGGGTACCGTAGGTCAGCTGTGGGTACCGTAGGTCAGCTATGGGTAACGTGGGTCAGTTGTGGGTACAGTAAGGGCCCAGGGTACTGTGGGTCAACAGGTCTCAGCTGATAGGTGTGAGCGTGGGACACAGCGTGGGACACAGTGTGGGACACAGCGTGGGACACAGTGTGGGCAGGGGGGGGGGGGGAGGCAATACAGCCACCACACCCGGTCCCGAGACATAAGACCCCCTCAGCACACACCAATGGTTGGCACCCATACAGCAGGGGGTGCCAGGGGGTGTGAGGCTGCCTCAGTCTACGGTACACCAGTCTGGTCAGGTTGTATACCAATGTTTAAACTTGCAGTTTTCTGAACAAATCCACAAGGGCCGTGACGAGGATTCGAACCTGCATCCGGGAGCATCCCAGACACTGCCTTAATCGACTGAGCTATGACAGGGTAAAAGAGTTGAAACCGAAGTTCTACTGAAATTACTGGATCCCGTAGCCTCCGAGGCACAAACCCTTGTGGATTTGTTCATTTGATGCATCACGTTAGTGTGATCTATGTGTGTAGTGTGTTGCAGTTTTCTCTTCGAGTCATCATAATTTAATAATACTCTTTATAATATAGTTTCTTAACAAACTTGTACACCCACACTGATATGCTTTGTTCATTCATAATGTATATTAAATGGTTTAGGTATTAATAAGTGTTAGCAGTGGACTGTAGGGAGAGACCAGTATGCAGGTACCAGTACACCGTGTAACCTACCTTACCCCCTAAATGTCAACTCATGTCTTGCTATTTTCAAACAATACTGTTTGTTGACCACATTGTTTAATTGCTGATTTCTGCCATGTTCCCCTTCTTTTTTTTTTCCTTTTTCAACACAATTTATACTTTTAATCTTAATTAGTATTAAGCTTTAGTCTAGTCTTTCCCACCACACCTTGCCTGAAACGCTGTGCGTATTAGTGGCTTTAGGTATTGTATGTACTAGCTCTATCTATAAATCCAACATTATGTTTATTACTCATCTTCTTGAAATGTACATTTACCTGAATAAACATTTGGATTTGAATTTTAGGTACATACAGTAATGTGGTTTACCCGAGTTTACCCGAGAGCCACTAACACTAGTGGCCTCGGTGAAAACAGGAAGCTGGCGGCCTGTCGAAGGTACCCCCATTTGTGTTGATCACATCTGTGGTGCAGATGTAATGGCATACTGTATAAGATTTATTTGCTGGCAATTCGTGTAATGCAAGTTTACTGTGTTTATTTATGTACAAGAAGGTACAATGGGTTTATGAGAGTACATATCATTGATGTTCTTACATTCTTGCAAAGCCACTAACACGTTTAGCGTTTCGGGCAGGTCCTTAATCCAACAGATAATTTTAAGTTGGTAATTTGTAGCAAAATTTGAAGAATATTAACAGGTACATTGTAGTAAAATTTTAGGGTAAATAAAGGTATAAAGCAACCTTTTGTACATCTGGGCTAGTGTTACTTTTCTTACTTTTGTAGCCTGTAACTACATAGCCTGGCTCCCCATGTGCCTGTAACCTCATAGCCTGGCTCCCCATGTGCCTGTAACCTCATAGCCTGGCTCCCCATGTGCTTGTAACCTCATAGCCTGGCTCCCCATGTGCTTGTAACCTCATAGCCTGGCTCCCCATGTGCCTGTAACCTCATAGCCTGGCTCCCCATGTGTCTGTTATCACATAGCCTGGCTCCCCATGTGTCTGTTACCACATAGCCTGGCTCCCCATGTGCCTGTAACCTCATAGCCTGGCTCCCCATGTGCCTATAAACCATATAGCCTGGCGCCCCATGTGCCTGTAACCTCATAGCCTGGCTTCCCATGTACCTGTAACCACCTAGATCGGCTCCTCATGTGCTTGTAACTACATAGTTCTCATTAAAAACAAGTTTCCTGTGCCATATACAAAATATAGCAAAAACAAAAAAATCTAAAACGGTTCGCATTCTTTTTCAAATTGGGTATTATGTTCCTCGCCCGCCCTGGTAACACTTTTTATTACTCACTCTCTATCCTTATCTCACCTGTGTTATCTGAGCCTGGGGTTCTACTACCCAAAATTATCTGTGACCTCTAATTAGTCAACACTAATCAGCAATTAGAACAATAACACACTCAAGCCCCAGACAGCACTCTGCCCCCTTACTTAAATCTTTGAATGTGTTGGATATTAAGTCACTTTACATCCGCTGTACAGTACAGTATAGTATATACAGTATATATATAAAATGCTGAACTGCAATGTTAATCCCGATCTTAGATGCTTCCTAGAGGGCCGTAACAGAATCCATGGGCACCTCACTAGAAACAAATGTCTCTTTGATATTCCAAGAGTGTGACTTAATCAGAGAAGAAATGATCTGAAAATCCAGGTTCCCAAAATGTGGAATGACTTCCCTAATTACATCAAAGACTGTCCCTTCTCTCAACCAGTATAAAAGAGAAACTAAGACCTACAGTACAGTACTTCCTTGCCGCATTTTGTAAGCTGTTTCGTGTATTGTTTCACCTCTGGGTTGTTCATGTGCTGCCTGAATGCACTTGTTCTTTGAGCCTTATTCTTGCTTTTCTTCTTGGTTTATGGTGTCCTTCTCAGTCCGGAATTCTTTTTCTTTGGCTCTTTTTCTGTTGGTGCTTGCCTCAAGTTATAAGGTTTGGGAGCTTCATATTCTTCTCTGGAGGTGTGGTTTTTGTTAGTTTGGCCCAGTTGGGCATTATGTTTGTCTACAGCCGTCTTCCTTTTCTGATGAAGAATGAGTTGGCAGGCTTCCAGAGGGGCTCTTGGCTATTGATGTTTGGTTAGTTTGACCAGGTGTGCATCATTTACTGTATCCGGTGGCAGCAATACGCCGCTACTTTTGTGCCACTGATTCGGCCTTGGTGAATGCTTTATACTCAGTTGTACTTGCCTAGTTGTGCTTGCAGGGGTTGAGCTTCAGCTCTTTGGAGTTCGCCTCTCGACTGTCAGTCAACTGGTGTTTATGGCTGTATCTGGTTTCCTTGGTTCTCTGTTCCAAAGCTTGTTTCTCAGGTCATCTGCAGTGTCATAATGTCTAGCCAGCCTGTGATCTACCCTCATGCCCAACTGCCTGTGATGTTCAGAGGTATGCTGCTCTTTTTGCAGTTCTTGCCGGGTTGATAATTTGGGCGCAGGGGGTTTTGGTGGTGTAACAGGGTTCTGGCGGCCCGGTATTTGGTTAATATTTGCGGGCCTTGTCATACCTGTGTCACCTTGGGTCGTGTTTCTTGCCCTGACGTCCATCTTCATTCTGACTCCCTGCGGTGTCTCCTTGGACACTTGGGGTGGACGGTAGTGTGACGGTCTTGCTTCATGCAGGTTGGCATTCAATTCCCCGCCGTCCGAGTGGTTGGGCACCATTTCTTCCCCCCGTCATATCCCAAATCCTTATCCTGACCCCTTCCAAGTGCTATATAGTGGTAATGGCTTGGTGCTTTCCCCTGATAATTTCCTTCCCTCTCTCCCTCCTCCCTAGTGAGTACCACCAGGGAGGAGGAGACTTCTTCTTTGAGACTTGTACTAGAGCAGAGGTAAGTTTCATTGCTCGTGAAAAGGTATTTGTAATGTAAGGTATTTGTATACTGTAATGGTAATAATTTTGGTGCCTCGTAGCCTGGTGGATAGCGCGCAGGACTCGTAATTCTGTGGTGCGGGTTTGATTCCCGCACGAGGCAGAAACAAATGGGCAAAGTTTCTTTAACCCTGAATGCCCCTGTTACCTAGCAGTAAATAGGTACCTGGGAGTTAAGTCAGCTGTCATGGGCTGTTTCCTGGGGGTGGAGGCCTGGTCGAGGACCGGGCCGCGGGGACACTAAAGCCCCGAAATCATCTCAAGATAACCTCAAGATAGGTGCTATAGTGAATAAGCAGGACTATAATACAGTACTTCAATACAGGACTTTGTACAGGACTTTTCCATGACAATTGGATATGTATTGCCCTAATGCCTTAGGGTAATGCACCAATAATCCCTGGTGCTCTCTTATCAGGTGGTGGTCACAGCACAAGTTTCTCCAGCAATTTCCATCACCACACAAACCTTTCACTATTCTGTCTCTGTGGGGATGTTACCTTGAGGGAGCCACCGGGGCTCACCCAGAAAGAGTCGTTTCATCACATTCGATATATGTATATTTTTTTTATACAAATTAGTACATCAAGTATAATTTATTACTATGATTATTATTGTGAATTCTAAACATAATTTTGATTTTGTGTTTCTTCAATTACCTATAAATATTTATTTTAATTTCATTGATTAAATGATAAAATGAGTTTACTTAGTGTTTATATTCAAGATAAGTCCTGGACTCTTCAGGAAGATATCCAGTTGCAGAGCACACGTGCACGTACTCAGTCTGAGACCCTGCAATACATGGTGGGAATGTCAGGCATCACTCCAAGAGTGATTACCTTTGCAAGATGGCTCTAGATTTCTTTGAGTATTACTTAATCATAATCACTGCTGGCGGCTCTTCAACATTGATGTATTTTGTGGGCTCCACATGAATGTTGTGCTATGATTACCTTAGTAATTACTGGAGGTAATTTATTTACCATGTCATCATTTCCACTCGAGGCTGTAAGGAGCAGTGTTCTGCCTTTAGTTCTAACATTTTAAAACAATTTTAAATATTCATACAGTATTGGCCTTTTAATTGGTACCAGATAATACATTAGTATCGATATCGGCCAAATTGTTAGTATCGATTCAAGTCTGTCATTAATGTTGTGTGCATGAGGCCTAGTGATGATATAGGCTGTGTGACAACAAGTACCCAACCAGTGGTGTCTAATAAGTAAATTATCAATGTAAATTATACATAAATAGATTTTGCAGCATTCTGAATGATTTATGACTTGAATACAGTACTATGATTCAGGTTAGAAATTATACTACTGAAATGGTTGGCACTTACTGTCAAGAATCATGTCCAGTACTATACTTGAATATGCATTAAAGCTGTAGGTAACCACCTCATATATAATGTTATTTCTACAGATATGCCCTGGGCTCCGTGATGATGATTGGTGTTGCACCAGAGTATCTTGGAGTGTGGCTAGCATGGAGAGGCATAACACTAGTACTTCCCGGCTGGGTGTACCAATGGGGCGATGATAAACTATATTCCCTTTACCAGCGTCTTGTTCTCTTCTTCTTTGAGACTTGTACTAGAACAGAGGTAAGTTTCATTGTTGTTTGTGAAAAGGTATTTATAATGAAAGGTTATTTGTAGTGGGTAATACTTTTAGAGCCAAGGTAAATAAGCAGGACTATAATGCAATATTTTAATACAGGACCTTTCCATGACAATTGGATATGTATTGGCCTAATGCCTTACTCCCTCCCTGGTGCTCTCCCATTAGGTGCTGGTCACAACAGAAGTTTTTCCAGGAAACTTCACCACCACACAAACCTTTCACAATTTCAAGCTCTCTAATCCCGTCTCTTATTTTTACACACGGTGCATTGTTCTACTCCCTGATGTAAAACTACCAATTGTCTGGTTCTACCATAAATCCCTATTTCACCTTTACATCCTTCTCCTTATATGAATCTTGGATGCTTTGGAACCTGTGTTATGACCCAGACTGGATATGCTGAGGTCATTCCTTTGTGTCAAGGTACCTCTATTACAATATATTTCATTCTGCAGTATTTGAAATATCATTATATACACGTGTATTCTAGTTATTGTACGGTATTTTGCTGCATTATTGTTATATTACTTGATGTGTTGTGTGTGAGTTTTATAACTGCTAGTTTTGTTGGCCGGCCGCTGCTACTGTCACAGCCCTCTACTCCCTCCCTTGTGTGTGTGTGTGTGTGTGTGTGTGTGTGTGTGTGTGTGTGTTAGTACAGCCAATCCAGTGCAGTTGGTAAGCTTCTTGTTTGTTGAATATACATATTTGTATGATGCTAATTGAGGTGAACATTGCATATGTTCCCAAGGTGTATATACAGTATACATAAGAGTATTTGTCTGTTTGTTCTCTGTACTCTGTGTTGAGTTATATAATATGTGCAGTGTTGATACATCCTTCCGTTGGGCCCACAGCACGGTGCGGGAGTTCACGCCGGTGTGGTTTGTGCTTCGGAGGGTTCGGGTCGCCCGCGGATCGATGATCCAGCTCCATTCTAACTGCTCCCAGGTGTTTCACTGCCTGAACTGAGGGGGTTCGATGCAGTCCATGGCTCTTTGGGGCTGGTCACTTCGAGTGACTCGTCTACTGAGTTCTCGAGGTTTGGCTCTCCTGGCGGTTCACGTCCGGGGGGGGGGGGGGGGGGTTGTCCAACGTCGTGGCGGACGGCCTGTCTTAATTTGTTCCCCTGTCCACGGAATGGATGGTCAATGCTGACTCATTCGGTTTGCTCTGCCAGACATTCGGGCTCCTGGAGGTGGACCTCTTCGCGTCGGCGTGGTCAAGGCATCTTCCGGTATATGTGGAGCCCTTCCCCGACTGCAAAGCTGTCGGGATTGACGCCTTACGGCAGGACTGGTCAAGGTGGGGGGTTCCTATACCTCTCCCCCCTTTCCCCTGGTTCAGCTATTGCTCTAGGTCCTGGCTCACTTGGAGATTTACCAGGGGTGAGTAGTCCTTTTGGCCCTGTGGTGGCCAGCTCAGTCGTGGTTTCAGGTACTGCTAGCCTGATGTCCGAACTTGGAGGTTTTTCCGTGGCTCCGCCTCTTTCAGAAGATCGGCCCGGTCTGTTACGAGACTGGTTCACTCTTCTTCTCGAGTCTTCGCGTTTGGTATTTTTGACTCGGGTTTATAGCCGTTTGTATGGTGGCTTCATTGATGGTGTCCCACCTGAGGGCTTCGTCTCGAGCGGCAGTGCGAAGTTTCCTGGCGGTCCTTACGTTTCTTTTTGACTCTTTATCGTTGTACTTCGCTTTTGGTTCGGGTGGTGGTGTCCTTTCTCTCGTGGTTGTTCCAGTACCATCATCTTATGCCGAATACTGTCGCCTCGAATTGTGCTGTGCTGGCGGAGCCGCTTCAACTTGCTTTCGGTATTGATGTTACTTCTGCAACATTTCGCAAGCTGTCTCGTGCGTTGTTTCACCTCCGGCCTGCCTATGTGCCGCCTAAGCCGTCCTGGTCTTTGGACAGAGTGCTCTCCTATCTCTTTTCATCTCGGTTTGTTGTGGCCCCCATCGGTTCACGATTGTTTTTCGAAGCCCTTTTCCTGTTGGCATTGGCCTCTGGGGGTCGGGTCAGGGAGCTTCATGCTCTCCTCCCGCGCAGGGGTTTCTGCTCTTTCGGTCGTGGAGATAGGTTTGTTCGTCTGCAGCCATCTCCTTTTCTGGCGAAGAATGAGACTGCTGCTTTCTGGAGGGGTCCTTGGGTTGCTGATGCTTGGTTGGTCAGGCCGGGGGTGCACCATGTGCTGTGTCTGGTTACGGCCCTCTGCCGATATTTGAGCACCACGGCTTCCGTGTCTGGGGACGTGCTTTGGGTTGATCCGGTTTCCCTTCTTCCATGTTCGTGGGTACAGGTCTCTCAGGTCGTCCACAGGGTTATTAAGTCTAGCCAGCCTGCGGTCTATCCCCGTGCCCATGACGTTCGTAAGTTCGCTGTTCTTGCTGCCGTCTTTGGTAACATGCCCTGGGCTGACATTCGGGCACGGAGTTTTTGGCAGTCAGGGAGGGAGCCGTTTTTTGGCTCTTGGCAGGGAGGGAGCCGTTTTTTGGCTCTTGGCAGGGAGGGAGCCGTTTTTTGGCTCTTGGCAGAGAGGGAGCCGTTTTTTGGCTCTTGGCAGGGAGGGAGCCGTTTTTTGGCTCTTGGCAGGGAGGGAGCCGTTTTTTGGCTCTTGGCAGGGAGGGAGCCGTTTTTTGGCTCTTGGCAGGGAGGGAGCCGTTTTTTGGCTCTTGGCAGGGAGGGAGCCGTTTTTTGGCTCTTGGCAGGGAGGGAGCCGTTTTTTGGCTCTTGGCAGGGAGGGAGCCGTTTTTTGGCTCTTGGCAGGGAGGGAGCCGTTTTTTGGCTCTTGGCAGGGAGGGAGCCGTTTTTTGGCTCTTGGCTGGGAGGGAGCCGTTTTTTGGCTCTTGGCTGGGAGGGAGCCGTTTTTTGGCTCTTGGCAGGGAGGAAGCCGAGCGGACAGCACGCTGGACTTGTGATCCTGTGGTCCCGGGTTCAATCCCCAGCGCTGGCGAGAAACAATGGGCAGAGTTTCTTTCACCCTATGCCCCTGTTACCTAGCAGTAAATAGGTACCTGGGTGTTAGTCAGCTGTCACGGGCTGCTTCCTGGGGGTGGAGGCCTGGTCGAGGACCGGGCCGCGGGGACACTAAAGCCCCGAAATCATCTCAAGAAAACCTCATGTCGAACAGGGTCATGGCTGCACGCTACCTCGTAAATGTTCCTGGACCTAGTCGGGCCTGTGTCACTTTGGGTTGGCGGCTGCAGCCTGTCTCGACTTTGAGTTGAGATGTGGAGCACCGACCACCTCCCGGATAAGTCTCCTTTATATTTTTAGTCTTTGGTGAAGTAGCTTCGGGGGAGCTGTAGGCCCCCCTCCCTCTATTCGTCGGTTTTTGCATATTTTGATACCCAGCCTCAGAACTGCATGGTGCATCGCCGGCACGGGGGTCTGGAGATCCCCCTTCCCCCTCCCGGGTAGGGGGGAGCTGGGCAGAAATGCGGTGCGGCTCGTGTGACATCATGCTTGTTTGCTCGTTTTCAATTGGGGAGTTCTGTCCATGCGTTTGTCTATTTTCGTTGTTTTTAACCAGAATAGTGGTTTGTTTTGGGGCGCTTACCTTTCTGAATGCCTGTTTCAGTCGATGGCAGATATAGAATGCTTCAAAATCACATGTGCATTTCTATAGACCATTGCTCCTCGTGCCTCTGAGGGGGTGGGCCAGGTTCTGGCTTGTGGTCCCTGGTAGGCCTAGAACTCCATCCACATCGACTGATGACAAAGTTAGGGATATACATATCAGCCTGGATAGCTCCGGGAGCCTCCGGGACTCACTCAGAAAATGGCGTTTCATTATTCAATGCTGGTTTGTTTTTTTATTCACACCAGGAAATCGACTTAAAAAAGGGTGTGCAGTTAGTGGGGAAGCAGTAATGCGAAGTGTATGAGAAGTTGGTATTGACTTTAAATAAGTAAATGATCAACAAATAGGCCTACAATGTTCTATGCTTAGTGTGGCCACGTATGAAATTCAAAAATGTATCGTTTGTCCTACAAATGGTTTTTATATATTTGCATATTATGTCTGAATGTGTAATTATGTAGTGTTGAGTATTTTATTTAGAAAATAATCTTTGCTAATAGTCACCATATTAACTTGATCACATACAGCAGGATGGAACACACAATTTGGTGATATGCAAACATTTTGTTTACTTAGGCATTACCTTCAGTTTTAATGTGCTTGTTTAATGAGCAAATCCATGTGTAATGACATCTGTGCCTACTTAGATGTGTTTTGTGGGGATTGAGTGGCACACACTTGTGTGTTTGTATGTGTGTGTGTGAGTGAATGGGGAATGTATATGTGTGGGTGAATGGGGATGGGGTGGAATGTATGTGTGTGTGTTCTGCACTTGTATATTGACAGTGTTGTTGGTATGGTGTATCTTTCCCCTCTAACCATGAAAAAGGGTATTGGGCAAAATTCTCATTATAATTTGTTAGATATAATGATGGTAAAGAGTTTTGTTTATGACAGGTAGTGGTTTACGGGGATGCTGATGATGCACTGAAGAAGAGGGAGAGTGTCTTGTATCTGGCTAATCATCAGTCCACAGGTGAGCACACTATCCTACAGTCAGCACAGGTGAGCACACTATCCTACAGTCAGCACAGGGGAGCACACTATCCTACAGTCAGCACAGGGGAGCACACTATCCTACAGTCAGCACAGGGGAGCACACTATCCTACAGTCAGCACAGGGGAGCACACTATCCTACAGTC